AGAGCCAGGCACGGTGGCTCACGCCTGTAATCCCAGAACTTTGGGAGGCTGAGGCAGGCGGATCACCTGAGGTGGGGAGTTCGAGACCAGCCTGACCAACATGAAGAAACCCCATCTCCTCTAAATTACAAAATTAGCCAGGCATGGTGATGCATGCCTGTAATCCTGGCTACTTGGCAGGCTGAGGCAGGAGAATCGCTTGAACCTGAGAGGCAGAGGTTGTGGTGAGTCGAGATTATGCCACTGCCCTCCAGCCTAGGCAACAGAGCGGCAGTCAGTCTCAAAAAATAAAAATAAAAAATAAAATGGGCAAGAGTCAGGTGCAGTGGCTCATGCCTATAATTCCAGCACTCTGGGAGGCTGAGGCAGGAAGACTGCTTAAGCCCAGGAGTTTGAGACCAGCCTGGGCAACATAATGAGACCTGTCCTCTACCAAAAATTTAAAAAATTAGCCGGCATGGTAGCATGCAGCTGTGGTCCCAGCTACTTGGGGGGCTGAGGTGGGAGGATCACCTGGGCCTGGGAGCTTGAGGCTGCAGTGAGCTGTGATCACACCACTGCACTCCAGCCCAGGCAACAGAGTAAGACCCTGCCTCAAATTAGAAAAATAAAAAGGCAAAATATTTGAGTAGGCATTTCTCCAAAGTAGTTATACAAATGGCCAATAACCACATGAAACAATGCTCAACATAATTAGTTATTAAGAAAATGCAAATAAAAACCACAATGAGATAACACTTCACACCCACTAGGATGACTAAATTAAAAAAACTGATAACAACATGTGTTGAACAGAATCCGGAAAAACTGGGATTCCTGTATGTTGCTGTTGGGATTTTTTAAATGGTGAGGCCACTTTGGAAAAGTTTGGCAGTTCCTCAAAAGGCAAAACATGGAGTTACCATATGAACCTGCAATTCCACTCTCAGGTATAAAAGAGAAATGAAAACATATGTACACTAAACTTGTACACAAATGTTCATAACAGTATTATTCATAATACCCAAAAAGTGCAAATACCTCACATGTCCATCAATTGATGAATGGATAAACATAATGTGGTATAGCCATATCATGGAATATTATTTGGCAATAGGAAACACAGTTCTGACGCATGACACAATGTAGATGAACCTTGAAAACAAAGTAAAAGAGGGCCGGGCGCAGCCAGGCGTGGTGGCTCAAGCCTGTAATCCCAGCACTTTGGGAGGCCGAGGCGGGTGGATCACAAGGTCAAGAGATCGAGACCATCCTGGTCAACAAGGTGAAACCCCGTCTCTACTAAAAA